AAAAAATTAAAAAAAACTAAAACTTATTGAAAAAAAAAAAAAAAAAAAAGGGAAAAAAAAAAAAAAAAAGCAAGCTTTAAATTTTCCAAGAAATTAAACAAAAACCAAATGTGAAAAAGTAGATGTACATAAGTGTTACGCCCCTGCCTCCATGGCAAACCATGCAACTGTCTGTTGAGCAGTATGCCACATGAGCATTTTCAAGGCACTCAAGCAAGAGCATTCACCCCTACTATATGACGAAGGCACATTCTATTGCTCCGTTGACCATTATCTTTCAAGGTGTTGATAGCTTTGCCCAATGCTTCGTGGACAAAACCTCTGAGGTGACATAACTCTGTGTAGATTCATCACTTCTCCAGGCAATCAATAGAGACCCAGCCACACTAGCCATGTTAGGTGGGCCTCTGTACTAAGAGGTGATTAGGGTCCCAACCTCGATGCCTTGGAACAACTGTAACTCGACTCTTTGAGCCACATGCAATGTAACGAATGCAACATCTCTCCAAGGGTGATTGGGAGTCAAATCTCCTATTTTTTCCCAAGACAGCATGTGAGAAGTCATAGGCCTATGAAGACTAGGATGTGACATGTTGGTGCAAGATGTATGAACCGTTAGGATGAGATCACGTGTCAACCATCCAAGATAATTCAAGTTTATTCTTATATCTACAAAAAAACTCTCACATTTGATGATATTTGAAGGTAATCAAGAATTAGATATTCTTACTCTAAAAATTTAAACCTGGATTCCTATTTTTCTTCTCCATTTGTGCCACTTGCGCACCCAATACTTTACCTTGAGGATACGGATGGTTTTAACAGTTTGGGAATTTACGGTTATTTACTCTATATAAATTAATTAGTATATATAGTTTAATTACATTTGTCTATAAAAAGTTTAATGACCATTGAAAATGATAGCTTGGAATTTTTCGCTAACAATTTGTTTGTTTTTGCCGTGTATTTTTTTCGAAACCTAACTATGGAGATCAAGGCTCTCTCAAAATTTTCTTATTAATAGCGCGATCCTATTAGGTAAGAATGAGACGAGGGCAATGGTGGTTGGAAAAGATGTAAAGATTGACCGTGGATGGGATTGAATTTGGAAGCGGGGTTGGTTTGGAATGATGATGTATTTCTTTTATTTTTTTTTTCTAAATTCTTTATTTCGATATTTTTGTTAATTATTTTCCTTTTGGATCTATTTGCACTTTCCGAAAAGTTATAGGATTCTTGGGCACTTTTACCTTTATTTTTCATTTTCCGAAAAAGGCAAAGCGGATTTCGTCATTGTCCTAGGTCCTTCGCTTTCAATGGAGTAGCTAGATTGTTGCGCAAAATTTAAAATTTTCATATCATGTCCAAAAAAATTAATTCTATTAATTTTCTAG